GGAAGGGAGAGGGATAGAGAGCCAGAAACATCGATGAGAGAGAAACATCGACCAGCCGCCTCCTGCACACCTCCCACCGGGGATGAGCCCGCAACCAAGGCACATGCCCTTGACCGGAATCGAACCTGGGACCTTTCAGTCCACAGGCCGACGCTCTATCCACTGAGCCAAACCGGTTTGGCTAAACCTACGTTTCTATGAAAATTGAAGCTTGTGTTTGCGGCCCACATAAACTTAAACCTTGTTTATTTGGCCCGTGTTAGCCTTTGAGTTTGACATGCTTGCTCTAAGGCAGCGGTTCTCAACCTGTGGGTCACGACCCCTTTGGCGGTCGAACGACCCTTTCACAGGGGTCGCCTAAGACCATCCTGCATATCAGGTATTGACATGACGATTCATAACAGTAGCAACAGTACAGTTATGAAGTAGCAACGAAAATAATGTTATGGTTGGGTCACAACATGAGGAACTGTATTTAAAGGGCCAGAAGGCTGGGAACCACTGCTCTAAGGTGATGTCATGTCCTTTACAACTGGAGAAACTGAGGCTGAGAGTCCAACTCACCTGCCCAAGGTCACAGAACCAGACAGGCAAGGCTCGCACTGGCTTCCTGTGTCCCCATGTCCCCTCCCCGCCCCAGGCTGATGGCAGCACAGCCACAGCAGGAACTTAGGGCTCCCACGCGTGGCCGGTGCCAGGGCATCTTGCTATGGCTCCCATACCCACCCCACCCGCTCCTGCAGAAACAGGGAAAGAAAGAAACCCACAGCCCTGGCTGGTTTGGCTCAGTGGATAGAGCATCAGCCTGCAGACTCAAGGGTCCTGGGTTCGATTCCAGTCAAGGGCATATGCCCAGATTGCAGGCCCGATCCCTAATGGGGGGCGTGCGGGAAGCAGCCGATCAATAATTCTTTCTCATCACTGATGTTTCTCTCTCTCTCTCTCCCTCTCCCTTCCTCTCTGAAATTAATAAAAACATATTCAAAAAAAGAGGAACCCACAGAATCACTCCGCTTCCTGCTTCCTTAGGCTCGAGGGAAAAGCCACACTCACCCCGTGCTTCTGGATGGCGACGTTGGTGAGGTGCACAAACATGTTGTCCAGCTCACTGGTGCTGGGCGTGTACTTCACGGTGCAGAAGCGGCAGAAGCCGAGCTTGTACCTGAGGGGGCTCAGATCAGTCAGTACCCGGAGGAGAAGCACAGAAACCCAGCCCTGCGCTCTCTACACGGAGCTGTGGGTCTTGTTTTAACGTCTAAAAGCACCGTGTGTTTTTAATGCTTCGTTTTTTATAACAGCTTTATTGACATGTAACTCGTATGTACATATACCTCACCCACCTAAAGAACTCGATTCCAGGGGTTTTGGCAAACTCAGAGTGTGCGACCATCACCGCAATCCATTCTACAACATCCGCATCGCCCCAAAAGGAAACCCCGTGACCACTGGCAGTCGCTCCCCATCCCCAGCGCTGGGCCAACACCCGTCTACGTTCTGTCTAAAGACCTGCCCGCTCTGGGCATTTCACGTAAACAGAATGATTCAACGCGTGGCCTTCTGCGCCTGGCTTCTCGCCCCGAGCGCGTCTGTGAGGTTAAAAGAGCTGCTTTTTATCTGTAAGCCTCCCGTGTAATCACTGCACTCAATGCTCAGCCCGCACCGGGCGCTGGGCACCCGTGCGCCTCACCAACCTCACCATGGCGCCAGGGAGCGCACCCTCACGGCACCGCCTTGAGAATGGAAATGGGCCTGGCGCTTACATGTAGCAGCGCAGCGGGCGGTAGGTAGACACCAGGACGTACAGGCGCAGGTCGAACTTCCTGCCGCCGATCAGTAGCGGGTTGCTGATGTAGAGGGAGATCACGTAGGCTTCCTTCGTGGACTGAGACACAAACCTAAACGTGGCAGAGGAAGCCGGAATTAGACGGCAAAGGCCGAAGGCGCGTTCGGTCGGCAGGTAACCAGCGCCCGCCTCTCCTTCAGTGAGAAAACAGGGGAGACGCTGTCCGTGAGGAGCCCTGGGCCGGGCCCAGCCCCAGGGGCGGCGGCAGCTGCTGGGAACCCCAGGGCAGGGCTCCTGGGGCGGACCCTCGCGGGGCTAGCGATGTGCCACCAGATCTAAGCGCCCGTCCTGGGATCTCCCGCGGGACGGCTCACAGCGACAGCAGCTGAGGGCCTCCCGGAGGCAGAGAGCCCGGGACGAAATGCCCTGGAATCAGTCCCAAGGAGACCCCCCCCCAGGGAGGAGGCTGGGCCTGACCTAATGCGACCCGTCCCACCACGGCGCTCAGGGGCAGATCAGCCGGGTCCCTGCCCACCCGCCCTGCGAGGCGAGGCCATCGGTGCCCAGTTCCCCCGGGTGAGGAGTCTGAGGGTCTACACGACAAAATGTGCTCGACAGCAGGTGTCAGTGAGTCAGTCCTGGGTCTTCAGCAGACGCTTTGCTGTCTCAGAAACACTGTGACTGGCCCGGCCGGCGTGGCTCAGTGGTTGAGCATCGACCTATGAACCAGGAGGTCAGGGTTCGATTCCCGGTCAGGGCACATGCCCGGTTGTGGGCTCGATCTCCAGTGTGGGGCGTGCAGGAGGCAGCCTATCAATGATCCTCTCTCATCATGGATGTTTCTCTCTCTCTCTCTCTCTTCTTCTCTGAAATCTATAAAAATATACTTTTAAAAAAAACACAAACACTGCGACTGGACGGGTCTCCCACCAACTTCGGGAACACAGGCTCCTGCTCTGTGCCTCCCGCTGGGGTCACGCCATTTCCCTCTGCACCTCCCCTCGGGGGGAGCCCCCGGGACAGATGCTGCACTCCTGCAGAAGCCAGCCCGTGGCCGACAGACGGACGCGGGGCGCTGCGGCGAGGCGGCGGCGGCGTGGGTCCCCCACTCACGAGGACGTCTTGCTGTCCCGGGACCACTTTTTGATCTGCGAGAGCTTGTTGATGAGGAAGATGCCCTTGCCCTGGGCTTTGCCACACGGCTTCATGATCCACGTGCTGGACGGGCTCTTCCGGAACTCCTCCACGAACAGGTTGTAGTCGGCGGGCAGCATGTAGGTGACCGGGACGAAGTCTGAAGGGAAAGGAGAGGGGACCCGTGAGCCAGCCCGCAGTGGCCGCGAACAGAAAATACTGCCACTGCCTTTCCAGGGCCTGTGTCCCACCCCCGACCCCGCCCAACCCAGCGTCTGGCAGAACGAGGGCTTCTGCGGTCCAGGGGCTGCACAATGATAACTCAGTTACTACCTGTGTGCTAAGCACGTTACAAGTCTGTACCATAGACTCACCACAGCACTGTGAGCTAGGGACTCAGCGTTCCCATTTATCAGATGGGGAAACTGAGGCCCGGAGAGCTCACTTACATGATTGCGCCCAGGAGTGTGAAGGGATTCTGAAACTATCCGACAGTCCAGCCTTTTTTTTAAATATATTTTATTGATTTTTTACAGAGAGGAAGGGAGAGGGATAGAGAGTTATAAACATCGATGAGAGAGAAACATCGATCAGCTGCCTCCTGCACACTCCCCACTGGGGATGTGCCCGCAACCAAGGTACATGCCCTTGACCGGAATCGAACCTGGGACCCTTGAGTCCGCAGGCCGATGCTCTATCCACTGAGCCAAACCGGTCAGGGCAGCAACAGTCCAGCTTTAACACCAGACAGGACAGGGGTGTGTGCGCTCCCTGGGTGTCGCTAGACGCAGCATTTGCAGCTCAGGAAGTGGTCACACACGCTGAGCACCGCAGACATTCTCTCCCTCACAGGAAGCACACTCCCCAGGCCTCAGTCAGATTCCGAAACTGAGCCCCACCCCCACCTCTAGAGACACTGGATCCAAAGAGGCGCCCAGCGCAACCTGCACCCACACATTCACCCGTCGAAGCCAGCAGGTGTCACCTCGATGCCTTGTGCAGCTGACGTTAAAAAACTCAACTATTTACATTTGAAACCCGGCAGTGAGAAGGCACACACCCAGGTAGAGGTATTTCCCGTTCTCGTCCTTCTCCGCCAGGGGACTCCCCTCCTTCTCCAGCTCTTTCCGATACCGTTTAATGTTCTTCACCATCAGGTCCTTCCGGGTCAGCTCGTAGTGGTTGGGAAAGTGGTTGACTATCTGATCGTCCGAGAGCCGATAGCCCGTTTCCACACTGAAGACATTTCGGATGGTCTGCACGCTCATCCTAAAGGGGAAGCACAGAGGGACGCGCAGGACAGAAGCTCACGTCTGTCCACGCGGAGGTGGTCCCATTAAGGCCCGGGAACTCCCCCGGAGCCCTCACCCACCCCCACCCAGCACCCACGGCCCACGGCGGCACAGGAAACGTGTCCAGTGACCGGCTATGGCCTGAACTGTTTGAGGCAGGAGCTGTTTTGACTATACCCTGAACAGTTTCATTCTCTGGCACACAGTAGGTGCTCAATAAATGTTTATCAATTAATGATAACGCTGATTATCAACAACAATCTAATGACAAACAGACTCTCCCAGACTCTGTAGTCAGGAAAGTTATTTACACAATATTTGCACCCAAAGTCGGGAAGGACAGGGAGCCCCATAAACCCAAATCCCAGGGGTTACTAACCCGGGCTGCCCCCCGTGAAGTGAGGAGGAGGAGGGAGAGAAGAAGGCCAGTGCCCTGCCACCCCTCTGTGCCCTCACCAGCCCCAGGCAGGGAAAGGGCAGGAAGGACGGGAGGGCTGGCACCCACAAGGGAACCAGAGTCACAGAAAGGCAGCTGGTGGCCTCTTGCTGTGTGGTCCCTGCCCCGCCCCCACCCCAGGGCACTAACCTAAGAGGGGGTGGGTCTGGAGCACCCAAGAGCATTAGAATAAGGAGATTTTTTTTTTACTTTGTATTATGGTAACAGTCAACCGTACATGAAAGTAGAGAGAAACATATAACAGATTCCCATGACCAGCCCACAGCTGTCACCACCCAGCCAGCCTTGTTTCGTCTGCGCCCCACCCACTCCCCACACACGCGCCTGCTGTTTTGTTTTCTTAGTTTGTTTTTTAATTCTAGTTGACAGCACTGGCTTGTTCCGCAGCAATTCCCAGACATCACATCATTTCATCCAAAACGCAGCAATTCCCAGACATCACATCATTTCATCCAAAATGCTCCTGCAGGAACCTCTAGCAGCTAAGGACTCCTTTTTCCGATACACGACATCCTCTGTTATACTGTTATCACAACTGAAAAAAGCAGCAGTAATTGTCTGATATATTTTTACAGCTCATGCAAATAAGGGCCGGGCCTTCTGATTGGTTGTTCTCCCTCTCACGTCTCTCTCTCTCTCTCTCTCTTTTTAATTGATTTTAGAGAGAGGGGGAGAGGGGGAGAGAGAGAGAGAGAGAGAGAGAGAGAGAGAGAGAGAGAGAGAAAAACATGGATGTGAGGAACATTGATTGGCTGCCTCCTACAAGGCCCTCACGGGGATCGAGCCCAAAACCTGGGTATGTGCCCTGACCAGGAACTGAACCGGCAACCCTTCAGTGTGTGGGGCGATGCTCAACCACCGGAGCCCCACCTGAGAGGGGGCAGGGAGCACAGCACGTACACAGGTGCAGAAGCAAGAAAGACAGGGGAAAACGTGCCGCCCACCGCATGGGGTGGAGGAACGAGAAGGGAAGTGGCTAAACAGAGGCTGTAACGTCTCTCAAGGCAGCGGCAGGGACAGTGAGTCTGGAGGAGGGGGATGTGCGGGGTGCAGAAGCCCCCAGAGACCCTGATGAGCCCGCCCGCCTCGGAGACTCGCGGGGAGCTGGGCCCAGGTCTGCAGAGGGTCGATGACAGAGGCCACGGCCGACTCCATGTAACCCCGCCAGAGGGGGGCTGTCCGGAGCAGGGAGCTGTCAGCACTGAGGGCGGGAGCAGGCCTGGACCGAGGGGGGCCGGGACCTCAGCCCGAGGAAGGCGGTGGAGGAGGAGAGTCCAGGACAAGGCCCAGGCCCCTGATTGGGCGGAGCACCGTCCAGGACGCGATGCCAAATCCTGACACTAACTGACCTTCGGGGGTGGGGCTGGGATTGTCATCTAGGCCACATAGCGCCCTCTCGCCATCCGAGAGGGAAGCAAATAGAAGCACGGAACCGCTCCCACAGGGCCCTCCTGTGACCCCCACCCCCACCCCTGGGCGCTGGGCAGCAAGGCGCTGACTCCCAGGGTGCTGGGCAGTAAGGCGCTGACTCCCTGGGCGCAGGGCAGCAAGGCGCTGACTGTGAGAAACTACCCAGAGGGGGGAGGGCTCTGGTTTTTCACCCCAATCCCCCCCCCCCGGCGGGGACCACACGCTGCTGCCTGGTAAACAGGACTGCGGGCCCTGAAGCGCCGCGGAAAGAAGCGGGAGGAGGCACGGGACGGCACAGACAGCTGCGCCGGGACCGGTCCTCGCTGGCTGCGATCTGGATCCGAATCCGTAACTGACCAATGGGCTTCGGAGACCCAGCGGCCCTGCTTCATACTCACCAGTAAAAGTTCCAGTCCTCGCTCTCCGTCACCTGGACCCATCCTCTCTTTTCAAAATTATTGATCAGCACTGACTTCTCGATGTCAGTGACCCACTTCACTCTTCCTGCCATCATCCTGCAAGAGAGCAACGGCTCAGGCTGGGAGACGCCCACAAGCTCCCGTCGCCCAGGGGAACCCGAACATCCCCGGACCCTGGACGCCCCCAAGTTCAGTCCCCGCAGCTGTGGTCTCAGCCAGGGGCCTGCAGTCCCCGGCGACACCGGGCAATGTCTGGAGGCATTTTGTTTGTCACAACTGGGGGTGGGAATGCTTCTGGCACCTAGTGAGAGAGGCCAGGGACGCTGCCCGACACCCCCAACGTACAGGACGGCCCCCCACAACCAACCACCCAGCTCAAATGTCAACGGTGGCCAAAGCTGAGAAATCCCGGTGGAGTAGGAAATAAAGGCAGCAATTAGCCATCAATAAATGTTCAACTGCAATTGCAACAGGGTCTCAGGTGAGAATGGCCCCCCTCTCCCCCTGCCAGGCAGCACCCACACCACAACCACCCTGCCGGCCACACAACTCGTTCTCCTACTTCCAACCAATCTCCCTGGCGGCCTCGCTCCAGCCACTGCCACCCACCAGGGGACAACGCAGAAGGGAGGGCAGCAACGGAAAACCACCAAGGCGCGTGTTGTGCTTCACCGAGCAGGAAATGGGCCCTCCGAGAAGGTGGGGATTTCTTCCTGGCCCCTGCTCCCTCGATCGTGACAAACGGTCACTCGAGGAGAACACCTGAGGCTGGACTTACCATCAGAACTATGGAGCCAACACGGACGTCCAATTTCTCGCCACTTTCACTGACTCTCCCTGGGGGTTCTGGCCTAAAATACAATGAATACACAGGTGAGATTACACAGCACAAGACCCAGGGGCACCCTGACTGTTATGAACGTAGAGAACTGGCTAAGCCGAGGGCCCAGTGGAAAGTCTTGTGTTAACAAGTGCACCAGAGGGCTGCCCGCAGCATTCCTATTGCCCGGTTGTTTAATCCGGCGCCAACTCAAAGCACCGCCCAGGGACCTGCAGCAGGGGCATCGCTCATTAGAAATGCAAATTCTTGACGCCCCGCCACCCCATGATGCACTGGGTCAGACTTTTGGGAATGGGACCCAGCATGTGTCTTAAGCTCTCAGGAGATTCTTACGAATGCTGAGTCCCTTGTTTGAAAGGAACGGGTCTAGCCCTAGCCGGTTTGGCTCGGTGGATAGAGCACTGGCCTGTGGACTAAAGGGTCCCGGGTTCGATTCTGGTCAAGGGCATATGCCCAAGTTGCAAGCTCAATCTCCAGTACAATCCCTAGTAGAGGGTGTGTAGGAGGCAGCCGATCAAGGATTCTCTCTCATCATTGATGTTTCTATCTCTCTCTCTCTCTCCTTCTCCCTTCCTCTCTGAAATCAATAAAAATATTTATTTTTTAAAAAAAGGAACAGGTCTAGTTCATGTATTTGGTTCCTGTCTTCAACAGGAATGTGGTCCCACTTTTATCTCTTGCTGAATCTCCAGCCCCCCAGAGAAGTGTCTAGTAAAAGCACACAATCAATATTCAATGAATTAACAAAAATAAAGATGTGAATTCCCGGCACACACCATCAGGTAAGAGCTGCCTGTGCCAAGCAGTGAATTGGGCACGGCCTGGCCCTGCAGGGGAGAGAAACTTGCACACGATCACCCAGGATGTGCCACAGCTTTGCCAGCACGTGAAGTCGGGGCCGAGAGGTTAGCTGATCTCCGCTGAGCGAGGGAACAGCTCAGGGATCATCCACGCCTACAGCCCCAGGAGGACAGAACTCTGCCAAGAGGCCTAACATCCTGGAGTTATGACGACTCTCAGGCAAAAGCCAGGACAGCCTTTCAGGAGAGACAGCAAGCAGGGCAGTCCCGTCTCCCTCTTCTGGTCCAGCCTTCTAAAACCAGAGCCCGGCCCGCATCCCACTGCCCGACTATCGCTGACTTCCCGTCAAGTCCCAGCTGGGCCAGGACTCTAGGGCATCTGATTTGTTTCCAGCTGGCTTCTTTGACAAGGAAAAGGCGCCATCTTTACTTACTATTTTAAAAATGTTTTTATTGATTTTAGAGAAAGAGGAAGGGGGAGAGAGAGACACACAAACATGGATTGGTTGCCTCCTGTAGGAACCCTGACCCAGGATCAACACCCCCCTCCACCCCGACCCCCCACCCCCAAACTGGACATGTGCCCTGACCAGGAATCTAATTAGCGACCTTTGGGTGCACGGGAGGACACTCTAACCCACTGAGCCACACCGGCAAGGGCCAAAAGCGCCGTCTCTAAAGAAGGTAATAAACAATAACGTAAATGACTTCACATCAGTGCATCCGATGGCAGCTGCATTGCCACAGGGAGGCAGTGCCATGCTCCACGAAACTGTTGGCTGTGCCTGTGATTCTTTGAATGCAGAGCGGGCTGAGGGTTTGCGCTACCACAGCCTCGCACTGAAATGTGCTCTTTCCCAGAACAAAGAACCGCTCTGCAAACCGTAAACGGCTTACAACGACACGATACTTCTACGTCTAGGATGGATCCCCAGTAATGACCCAGCTACTCCATGAGGTGGATGACTCGCTCTGCCCACACCCACGCTAAGTGGTAGGGGAACCCGGAGGGGAGGTACCTAGGTCCAGACCCCAGAGAGAGGTGAGCAGAGCGGGGAACCCCAGGCTCCCGCCTGCCGCGCAGAGCCCTCCCCACAGGTGCACGGCGCGCAGCAAGATGCCAACTGAAACAATACAGATGGCAGCAGCAAGAGCCGAGGCACAATGAAATGCTGCTAAAACAATCTTAAGAGAAATGCAATTACAAGGGTCCAGCGGCACAGGGTACGGAGGAGGAAGGGGCACAGCAGTCAGAGCATTCTCCCAGGAGGGCGCGGCCCGCCCAGCACCAGCCGAGCATCACCCTAACGGCGGAGAGGACCCGGGCGCCCACACTCGCTCGCGCATGCGCACTCACCCACTCAGGCACAGCCACACCCTCGGTCCTGGGAGGCGGCAGCCCGCGCGGGGACTCACCTGTGGGCGCAGAGCGCGGGGCAGCACCGAGGAGCGGAGCAGGGTGGCCCCGCACCGCGCCCAGGCCCCGCGTCCAGCCCCGCTCCTGCGCTGGCAAGAGGACGCCGCCTGCAGCCCTGCGGATCGAGCCGCCGCCCACTACTTCCGGGGCGGCGCCCTGGCAACCGAAGACGCTACCACCGGCGCTACAACGGCTTCCGGGGTCAGATTTTCCCCGTGGGTCTCTGAGCCTCGGGCTGAGAGCTGGGGAAAAGCCAGCCGTTTAGCCTCCACCCCCACCACCACCCCGCTACTCCACCTACCCCCCCATCCCCCCATCCCGAGCCTTTTAACCTTCAGGGCCCAGAAATGAGGCTGAGAAAGGTGTGGGCGCGGGACCGAGCCTGACAGCGCGAGGCGGAGCGGCGTGACGGTTGTGGCACTGAGGCCAGTCCGCTCTTACCCCTCCGCTGCTCAGCTTCTGTATCCGCAAAATTGGGACAGCGTGGCGCCTACCTGGTAGACTTTGTTATAAGGGTACTATGACAAGTTGAATGCTGCACATAGTAATCCATAAATGGCATACTCAGCCATGACCCGGCAGCTCAATTGGTTAGAGCGTCCTCCCCATTCGTCGAGGTTGTGGGTTCGATCCCGGTCAAGGCACATATGAGAAGCAACCAATGAATGCAGAAATAAGTGCAACAACACACTGATGTTTCTCTCGCTTCTTCTCTCTCTAAAATCAATACATTTAAAAAATATATATTTCTTTATTGATTTCAGAGAGGAAGGGAGAGGGAGAGAGAGAAAGAAACATCAATGATGAGAGAGAATCATAGATCGACTGCCTCCTGCATGCCCCATACTGGGGATCGAGCCCGCAACATGGGCATGTGCTATTGGCCAGAATTGAACCTGGGACCCTTCAGTCCGCAGGCCAACGCTCTATCCACTGAGCCAAACTGGCTAGGGCTAAAATCAATAAATTTCTTAAAAATAAAATAAATGGCCCACTCAAAGGTCAGCTCATTTGTGGAGTGTTCCCTTGAGTGTGGGATAGGTCTAGTTCTTCAAACTATATATTTTAAAACTCTCTCTGTAAGGAAGAAGCAGCCTGGTTTAGTGAGAAGCAAAACTGAAGCCAGACCTGGGTTGAATCCTTATTGGGGCATTTAAGCTGAAGCCATGTGTTTTAGTCTGTTCCGGCTGCTATAACAACAAACACTAGAGGTGGGGTACCTTCTAAACACCACAAATTAATTTTTCACAATTCTGGCACCGGCAGATTGGTCTCTGGTGAGGGCCTGCTTCCTGGTCATAATGATTGGTTATCTTACTTTGTCCCCCCATGGCAGAAGGAGTGAGGGTGCTCCTTTGAGGTCTCTTTTATTAGGGCACTAATGCCATTTATGAGAGCTCCACCCTCGTGACCTATTCACCTTTCAAAGGCCCCACCTCCTGATACCACCACATTGGAGGGGACATAAACATACCACTCATTGTGCTATGAGAATAGTTCATGAAAGAGAGAGTTGACACTCAATCAAAAATATTGAAGACCCACAACATTCACGAAAGGCACAAAAATCAGCCAAGATGAAATGGACACCAAGGAAACTTCTAGATCAGCAGTGAGCAAACCACTGGCCACATCCAGCCTTACACCTGGTTTTTATCTTTTTTCTTATTGTCCCACTTGGTTTTTATAGCTCAATGGTCTATACCCATGACCCCAATGAAGTGAAATTTAATTTATCCCACCACCTCTTAAAAAAAAAAGTCCACTTGCTCATTAGACCTGTATTACTAAAAAGTTATACTCCATTATTATTATACTAGAGGCCCAGTGCACAAAAATTTGTGCACTCTGGGGCGGAGGGGGGGTCCCTCAGCCCGGCCTGTGCCCTCTCGCAGTCTGGTACCCCTCAGGAGATAATGACCTGCTGGCTTAGGCCTGCTTCCGGGTGGCAGAGGGCAGGACCAATCTAGGTGAAGTTCTGAGTGTTGCTTCCAGGGATTCCAGAAACCTCCCACGAGCCTCTCCAGGGCTATTTCATTCCTCATCACTTACCGTTAGCGCCATCTAGTGGAGCCGGCACTCATCTGGAGCTGCCGGGCCAAGTTCACACCCACCGCACAGCGGCCACTGTCCCTCCATGGCCCTCAGCCTCAGCGTTCTCCCCGTCAAAGACTATCTGTCCGTCTGTCTGTCTGTCTCTCTCCCTTCCTCTCTTTCTAAAATCAATCAATCAATCAATGTATTTTTAAAAGAATTTTAACTTAGCTGCAGCAGCACTGAAGCCATTGCGGGGCAGGTCTGAGCAGGGGGCTGTGCAGCTGGCCAGGTTGCAGCCCTCTGCAGCCGGCCCTGCTGCGTGCAGGACACGAAGGGCCCTAAATACCTGGCCAGAGCTCTGCCCACTCACCCTTCACAAGAGCCCTGCCCAGTGAGTGGTGTTATCCCACTTTTTAAAAATAGATTATTCATGTTTTTATTGATTTTAGAGACAGGATGGGAGAGGGATAGGAAGATGAAAGCATCAGTGAAAGAATCATCGATTGGCTGCCTCCTGTACACCCCCTACTTGGGATCGAGCCCACAACCCGGGCACGTGCCCTGTCTGGGAATCGAACTGGGGATCTCTTTGGTTCATGGATTGACACTCAACCACTGAGCAACACTGGCCTCGCTTTTATTGATTTTTAGAGAGAGAGAAACATAGATTTGTTGTTCCACTTATTTATGCATTTATTGGTTGATTTTGTTTTCGTGTTTTTCTTTTTCAATTATATGTATATAATTGATTTCAGAGAGGAAGAGAGATAGAAACATCAATGACAAGAAACATTGATTGGCTGCCTCCTGCACGCCCCCTACTGGGGGAGGGGGCATGGAGCCTGCAACCCAGGCATGTGCCCCTGGCCGGGATCCAGGAATCCAACCTGGGACCCTTTAGTCGGAAGGCGGACCCCTCTATCTACTGAGCCAAACCGGCCAGGCCAAGGCCTGTGTTTTGTTTTGTTTGGGTTTGACAGCAGCCATCCTAACGGGGTTGCTATCTCCACTTCTTAAATAAGCAAATAAGTCGCCTGAGGCCATGCGGCATTCATGTTATCAATTCAGCTGTGACCTCCTGAATGCCCTGCCCAGCTCAGCCGCCACCAAGGACTTTGATGGAGCCCCAGCCCATTGCTCCCTGAGGCTGTCAATCACCCGGGGGTGCCCCATGCTGGACAGAACCCAGCGCCCAGCCCACCCCGCCCACTCTGTGGCCCGGCCAGCAAGCCCTGCCCTGCGCTGTGCAGGGACTCTGTGCTCCACCCATAATTTGCCCCACCCTTATAGCCTGCATGCCAAGGCCTCTGATCTCAAACACAGTATCTCCACCGAAAGCCCCAATCTCCCCAGACTGGGGTCCAACTCAAAAGCATTGCATGACAAACAAAACAGGTATGCGGGCCAGACACAACCCAAGGGGCTGCCAGTGTGCAACCTCTGATCTTGCGGGGAAAATTCTCAGAAAAGATCTTGAACTGAAAGCATTTAGGGGTCTCCTAAGGGACTCTAAATATGGTAGGAGAACTGCTTTTCCAAAGGAGCAATCCAGGGTCCCTGTATCCCTTGTATCCTGACCCTTTACGAACCATGATTTCCCAACCCTTCTTCTCGGGGTTGATGCGACTGTAGAGATTTTTTTTTA